ATCCATACCTAGCCAAGCAACGAGGTCATGTAACTAGCCATCCTAAAACTCACCGGTCCACATCTCACATAAAGTCAACATTCATATTACCGGATAACTGACTGTTCACAAATCCTCTACGCGCATCCAATACCGCTACACGAATCGGTCAAAGGACTACACGCAATCCGATTTCGGCCTGGTACGAACTCAAGCAGAACTCAGCTGACTACACAAATTCACTGACTAAAGTGACTACACGAATTCACTTTCTCCCAACAAACCAACCCCAGTGACTACACGAATTCACTGACGCGAGCCTGGAAGATACATCAACAGTCTTATCCGATCACATGAACACTGACTTCCCCATCCCAACTCTTCTCTTTTTCTAAGTTAACTATAATCCTCATTGGAAACTCGGGTTCACTGCCTAAGCCAGTCAACACACTCACACATGTCACTAAGTCTGTTCATGACGCACGAGATTACGAAGTCATGAACTACTAAGGGTTCTCAAACACAACATGGACATTACATAGCAGACATGTCAAAATACATTAAATAAATACAAAACGGGAAATGTGATCATAGACAGTAAAACATACATGCAGTCTGGTTTTAACAATATCTTGGTATCCAGCCCTCTAAACTATTCATACAAAAACATAAATTACTTAAAATCCGAAATAGATAATTATTTTTGCAAATAATTCCTTTAGATCATCATAATCAAGAATCAGAAATAATCTTCTGAAAAATAATTTATTTACTTCCAAATAATTCCTTTTACAATATAATTTATTTTAATTTAATTTCAAAATAATCCATTTTTCTAAAATAAGTTCTTTTCTCATTATAATAATTTTAAAAATAATCTTTTAAATAATAAAATTCAAAAACAAGATAAATTCTCATTAATTCAAATATTCTATTTTCCCAAATAATTTCTTTTTAAAAATATTCATTATTCTAAAATAATTTCTTCCACAAGATAATTTCTAAAAATTATTATAATTATTCTAAAATGGTTCTTTTTCCAAGATAATTACTTTTAAATTATTATAATTTTCCTAAAATGATTTCATTCTCAAATAAATTCTTTTTAGTTGATATAATTATCCAAAAATAATTCTGCTGTCGAAATAAATTCTTTTAATTCATTATAATTATTCTGAAAATGCTATTTATCATATTATTATGATTTATCTAATATTATTCATCAAACAATCCCATGCAATTATGTTTCTAACTACTCAAAAGTATTAAAACAAAAACTATACAAAAGTGGCGGGCTCTTTGTGGTGCACTTTAGCGGGGCAATTTACTTGCTAACGTGCACCTCCGCCTTGTTTCAATGAGGAAGAAGAAGAAGAGTAATAAAAAAAGAGTGCCAAGCAGTGAGATTAGAGATTCTATGTTTGTTTATCCATCTTCGTCTACCTCTGGAGGTGATGTTGTAGCGGATGAATTTGAGGAATCTCAAAGATCTGTGAAGAAGAGCATGATAATGGAGAGTACTGGACCTAAGGGAGCCAAGAAGAAGATAAGAGTTGAGGAGATCTTAGCAAGGTCTACTCCGATCTCAGATCCTCAGGTGAATTCTGGTTTTCAAGCTTCTCGTCAATTATCAAATCTCTGGTCAGATAAAGTTGAAATAGATTTTGAATCTGGATCTAATTCAAATCTGGATGATGTTAATCTAGAAGATCTAAATAAGATGGATTTAAAGGATTCTGATTCTAATAGTAACACAAAATTTGTGGATCTCACCAAATCTGCTAGTGCTGAGTCTGAAAATGATAAAGCAGAGTGTGAATCTGGAATGTTTGAAAATTCAAATGATGTAGCTATGGATGATGACAGTGAAATTCATGAGAATTCTGGAAAAAATCAGCCAAAAACTTATGCTAGTTTGTTCGCTGATAATAGAAAGAGTGGAGAGGGATTAAAGTTGAATTTTGTTCCATTCAATGAAGAAAATACAGTTTCTTTCTCTCTTGAAGAATGGAAAGAAGGAGAAAAATACTGGAGATATGCTCTTGTTGGCCATGTAATTGGTCTAAATGTAAGTTATAAATCAATGGAAGCCTATATAAATAAATTGTGGGGGAAAATCTCAATCCCTGAAATTCTTTTAATCAAACAAGGTGTGTTCCTTTTTGATTTTCACACTGAGAAGCAAGTGTGTGAAGTTATGGAGGAAAGACCTTGGTTTTTTGGCTCAAGGCCACTGGTTCTTAAGCCATGGAAAATTGATACTGATATAGACAAGATTCAGGATTTCAGCTACCCTATGTGGGTTCAATTTCCAAATTTGCGCTTGAATCTATGGAGTTCTACAGGGATTAGTAAAATTGCTAGCATAATTGGAAATCCTATAACTACTGACAAACTTACAGCTACAAGAAAGAGGTTATCTTATGCTAGGGTGCTGCTAGAAGTTCAATTGCCTCTGAAACAACCTTTGCCTGATCAACTGGTTATTCATGGACCTGATGGAAAGTGTTTCACCCAAAAAGTGATTTATGAACTCAAGCCTAGATGGTGTAATTCTTGCAATGTTATAGGGCATCTATCTGAACATTGTCGTAGGAAAGCTGGAAGAATGAGATGGATGCCTGTTAACAGGAATTCTAATGCTCAAAAATCTGGATCAATTGATAAAGGGACTACTGAAACTAATGGTACAAATTCAAGCTCTGAAAATAATCCCAGTAGTGGAGAGAATGTCTATAAGCCTGATGTTAATCATGTTGAAGTATCTGGAGTTTTTTCTGGTGCACGTGCACAGGATGATTTTGTTAAAGCTGGAGAATTTAGTGTTGGGAACATAAAATCTGGATCTGCTGATATGCTATATTCTGATACTCTTGTGCAATCTGTCATTTCTGGTGCACATACACTGGTAAATACTGTCAGAGTTGGGGGATCAAATGCTAGAAATTCTGGTGCTTCTGGTGCTCAATCCTCATCACCAAATCATATTTTTACATCCCCAGCTGTTAATGCTACAGGATTCACTAGTATTGCAAGGGATAAATCAGCAAGAAAAGTTAGCAGAAAAACAAATAATCAAGGGGTTTTTCAGGCTTCTCATTTTTCTCTCCTGGAGCAACAGGTACATGATCTTGACCCCTCTAGCATTGATAGGGGTGGCCTATTTTCAAAATGCAATTAGCTATCTGGAATGTGAGAGGACTTAACAAATCCTCTAAACAATCCATTGTTAAGCAATTCATTTATCAATATAATCTACCTTTCATTGCCCTTTTGGAAACAAAAATTGTTGGGGGGAAATTACAGTCTGTTGCAAGGAAAATTGCAAAGGATTGGGATTGGATTTCAAATGCTCACCAAGCTAGCAGAGCCAGGATTTGGATTATTTGGAATAGCAATATTCTTACCATTCAGAAAATTGCCTCTTAAGATCAGTATATTACATGCTCTCTAGTGTCAAAAGATGGAAGTATAACATGTATATTCTCTATAGTGTATGCACTTAATGATATGATTGGTAGAAAAGCTCTTTGGCAAGACCTTCTCTCTTTCAATCAAAGTATAAATGTTCCATGGTTCATTGGGGGAGATTTCAATTCTATCATTAACAATAGTGAGAAGATTGGTGGTGTTGCTGTTTCTAACTCTGACACTGATGATTTTTAGAATTTTATTAATTCTTGCCAGCTATTACATCTCAAGTCCACTGGTTGTTTTTTCACCTGGTGTAATAAACAAGATGCAGGCACAAGAATTTGGAGTAGGCTTGATAGAATTCTAATAAATGAAGAATGGATTCACAAATTCACTTCAAGTCAAGTGGAATATTTAGTTCCAAATTGCTCAGATCATTCTCCTGCCTAATTACAATTGAAGAAGAAAATTTTATAGGTAAAAGGCCTTTCAAGTTCTTCAAAATGTGGACAAGTCATCCTGAGTTCATTGGTGCTGTGAAGTCAATTTGGGAGCAAAACATCAACGGTTTTAAGATGTATCAGGTTTATACTAAGCTCAAAAATCTTAAACCTGTTTTGAAGGATCTGAACAAGAGACACTTTATGAATATTAGTGAACAAGTGTTGAGAGCAAAGGCTGAATTAGAGGATGTTCAACAGCAGATAAGTACTAATTTTTTCAATTCCTCCCTGATTCAGAAAGAAAGAGAATGTTTGAAAAAATATGACAGACTTCTTAATTGTGAAACCTCTTTCTATAGTCAAAAGGCAAATATCAAATGGAGCATAAATGGTGACAAATGCACCCACTTTTTTCATTCAATCATGAAAGTTAAAAGGCATCAAAATAGAGTTCTATCTCTTTACACTGAAAACGGGGATAGAATCTCAGATTTGCCTAGAATTGCTGCAGAATTTATAAGTTACTATGAAAATCTACTGGGAACAAAAGCTCCTGTCTCAAAATCTAACCCTGAGATTATCACAAATGGTCCTGTTCTCTCTGATATTCAGCGCAGTATGTTAAGTGTTCCAGTTTCAAGAGATGAGATAAAGATAGCAATCTTCTCTATGTCGGATGAGAAAGCTCCAGCTCCTGATGATTTCAATGCCTCATTCTTTAAATCTGCTTGGAATGTGATTAGTGAAGACTTATTCCTGGCTGTGGAGGAATTCTTTTGTTCTGGAAAGCTTTTGGGTGCATTAAATAACACATTGATTACTCTTATACCAAAGATCCTAAATCCCAAATCACCATCTGATTTCCGTCCAATATCATGCTGTAATTGTGTTTATAAGATCATTTCAAAGATCATTGCTACCAGAATCCAAAGTGTGATGGGATATCTTATATGTGATGCACAGAGTGCTTTTGTTAAGGGGAGGGTTATCTCAAATAACATTTTACTGGCACATGAGCTTATCAAGCATTATGGGAGGAAACATTCTTCTCCAAGAGCAATTCTTAACATTGATCTTAGGAAAGCATTTGATACCATTGACTAGGATTTTATTGAAGCAATGTTAAAGGGTTTAGGGTTCCCTGAACAAATGGTAAATTAGATCATGGTTTGCATCACTTCTCCTAAATTCTCATTATCTCTCAATGGAACTTTGCATGGATTCTTCAAAGGTGCTAGAGGGATGAGGCAGGGGGATCCACTTTCCCCTTATGTATTTGTCATAGGCATGGAGTATTTGTCAAGAAAGTTGAATACACTAAAGGATGACAGATTATTCAGGTATCACCCTAAGTGCTCAAAGCTGAAAATTACTCATCTATTTTTTACGGATGATTTGCTATTATTTGGAAGAGCTGATATGAATTCAATAATTAGACTCTACAACTATCTCAATGAGTTTAGCAAGGTCTCAGGCTTGGAAACTAACCCTAGTAAGTGCTCAATATTCTTGAGTGGCATTGATGACAATCAAAAAATGCAAATTTGTTCTTATTTGAATTTTACAGAAGGAATCCTTCCAGTGAGGTACTTGGGAATGCCCATGATTTCCAAAAGACTTTCATGGTTGGACTGCTCCCCTTTGATTAGTAAAATTTCAGATCAGTTACAGCATTGGCAAAAAAAGAAAGCTCTTTCTTATGCGGGGAGGTTGCAATTGATTAAGTCTGTCATCCTAGGTGTTCATCTTTTTTGGACCAATAACTACATTTTGTCATGTAAGGTGCTAAAGAGAATTGATAAAATGTGCTCTGATTTTCTCTGGGGTCATAAAATTCCATTAGTTTCCTGGGTTTCAATCTGTCAGGATAAAGAGTATGGGGGTTTAGGAGTATTTTCAGCAAAAGATTGGAATTATGCTGCTGCCATTAAATTACTGTGGATGATTCATCTCAAGAAGGGTCTACTTTGGATAAAATGGGTGCATGAAAATTATTTGAAACGTTTTGATATTTGGAATGTTCGTATGAAAGCTAGTGATTCATGGATATGGAAACAACTCTTGAAAGTTAGAGATTTGATGATAAGAAGATATGGAAGTATCAGCAATCTAATAAACATCATTGAAAGTTGTTGCAAGAGTGAAAATGTCCAAATTTCCTTTGTATACCGGAATCTGGTACAACCTGCACAAAAAGTTAGCTGGAATGGCACAGTTTGGGGTGGTTTTCATTATCCCAAACACTCGTTTATACTTTGGTTAGCTATCCAATCAAGATTGCTAACTAAGGAAAGACTGTGTCGCATGAGAATTTTAGACGCTAATCAGAATCAATGTGTCTTATGCTCAAACCACATTGAAACAGTTTGTCACCTGTTTTTTGATTGCTACTATACTGCTGCTGTGTGGAATTTGGTGATGGACTGGTTAAATTTCAGTTGGAGGTCATGTTCCTGGGGTGAAATCATTCACTGGTATAGCTACAGTTTAAAGAGGAAGGGACTCACTGAAAGTTTGAAGAAAATGGCCCTTTCATCCTCAGTGTATCATCTATGGCAGGAGAGAAATTTGAGAATTTTTCAGTTCAAAACTCATCAACCTGGTATTCTGTTCCGTGCTATAAAGCTATCAATGCTTTCAAAAATCTTGAATGAGAAGCTTCCTGTACATATTAGGTAGAAAATTGAAAAATTATAAAGGAGTATTTCTATAGATGAGTTACCAGACTAAGTCTGGTTGAGTGATGTATATAAAGTTTCATATTGGAAAATGAATAAAGTTTTTCATTGACCAAAAAACAATCCCATGCATATAAATATATCAGATCTAAAATTACAGATAATTCATAATAAGTATAAAATTTAGTTCTGAGCAAGTGGGATCTTGCCTTGGGTATATCGTGGACCGTAGAGGGGGTCGTCGGGGTGGTTGCACAGCGTTACGACGGGTTTCGCGGAATCGACGGCTAAAATAACAATTAGAGTGTTAATGCGACGTGTGATATTTGAACGAGTATAACGAGGTATAGATAGGGAGCCCAAGTGAAAGGAATATACCGTATGATAGACAACACGAAGGGCTACGCACCGGCGAAGGAATCGACAGGGACGAAGGTCGGAGTTGGCCAGAAAACGCGCGCGAAGTCAGTTCCGAACTGCAGTTTTCTGTAGTGAGCTCACAGATTCGGCTCGTCTTCGCTGTTCGGAGCTGCCGGGGAGGAGCTCGGTAGCGCTCGGTGAAGGGCAGCGACGAAGCTCGGGCCTGGGGGTTCGTCGGGGTGGTCGATGACAGCAAGCTCGGGTGGTGAACTTAGGATGGCGACGTGGTTGGAGGCAGCGACGTGGGGTTGAAGGAGGTGGCGGAGCTAGAGGGGAGGAGGAGGTGGTTGAGAGTGGCGGCACGACAGTGAGGTTGGCGGCGACCTGGTGCGGGGCTGGAGGTGGGCAGCGCGGGGCTGGCTGTAGGCCAGGCAGCGGCTGGAGTTTGGGCAGGTGGAGTTCAGGGCATGGCAGCGGTTGGCCTGAGGGAGGAGGAGGAAGGGGAGGTGGCTGGGTTTCGGGCGCAGACGTGGCGACGAGGAGCTAGGCTGCGTGGAGCGCAGAGCTCGCGGAGGCGAACTCATGGCGATGCAGCCGAGCTCAGAGGGTGGCGACGCTTGGGTTCGGAGCAAGGCCAGATACGGTGAAGATTGAGGGTCGGGGAGCTAGAGCGCGCTGTATCAGCGGCGCGGTGGAGCTCGACTGGTGGGCCGGCGACGAGAATCAGGCTGGGAAGGAGCTCGTCGGAGCTTGGGGCGAAGCTGGAGTTTTGGTGGTGGGTTGATCTAACAGGAGCTCGAGCTCGTTGATTTGTGTAGCGGCGCTTCCAACGGCGATGGCGTCGGTTGGTTGGGCTGGAGATGCGTCGGCGGTGTGGAGGAGGTGGGCTGCGTACGGTTTGGCAGTAGCCGGCGGCGTGCAGAGATGAGAACGGGGGGGAGAGAGAGAGAGAGAGAGAGAGAGAGAGAGAGAGAGAGAGAGAGTGATGGTGAGTGATTGAGTGAGAGGCGTGAGCTGGAGATTTAATGAGAGAGAATAATAGAGAGAGAGAGTGTCAGAGATTTAATGAGAGAGGGAATAATAGAGAGAGAGTGTCAGAGAGAGAGACAGATTGAGTGTGAGATTGAGGGAGATTTTAATGAGAGAGAGGGTACGTGATAGGGTGGTTGGGGGATGTGGGTTGAGAGTTGGGGGAAACACGAGGTGGGGAGATTTGCGTGAATTGGGGAGAGTTTTAGGGGGAGAGAGATACAGAGTGAAATACCGGTGAGAGGAAAAATACAGGGAAAAATACCCCCTTAAATAATTTAAAAAATATCATAAAATTTATTCAAAATAAATATTAAAATTTATGGTCAAAATAATAATAATAATAACAATAATGAATAATTAACTATTTATTTAAAATTTTTACCAAAACAATTAAATTTATAATTAGTAAAAATATTAAAATAACATAATACCATATTTTTAAATCGTAGAAAATTCTAGAGAAATTGGGAAAAATACAAATACTCTTTTAGAAAAATAATATTTAATAATACCAGAAAATTATTTAAACCCGTATTAGAAATTTACGGTCATTACACATTTAGTTGTAAAATGTGATTTTGTAATGGATCAGTGTAAATTTCATTAAAAACCTAAAATATTATTGCTAAAATTAGTTCAGAATTGAGGGTTTCGATTCCTCTATTGCCTGCTTTTGAGAAGAAGAGAGGTAGATTCTTTCAACATTAAGGTTCAGGAAGACCAAATTTTTTGAGAGATGACTTATCCTCTTCTCAGAAAGACTAAATTTCATCAAAGGATTCAATTTTTAAAAGATCTAGGGTTGAGCAATTAGATATTTCCCCCTCTTTTGGGTTCAAAAAGAAGAAGAAGAAGAGTGGAGGCTCAACAATGGAGAAGAGATGGGCTTGAGGGTATTTTAGAGAGTTTTTTAAAGGGTTATATGGCTTTTCGGGTCCAAGTACTAAAATAGGTTTGACTTTTAAGTGATGGGTACTTAACTTTTTCTCACAAGCACTAAAATGGGTTTGATTTTTAATCAAAGCGGTGAGTACTTAACTTTTTCCCTTTTACTTTGTGTATGCAATTTTCCCAAATAACAATTATGTACTTTCCCTAAGGAGGCAACAATATTACTATCTAATGAATCTTAGGCTTCCTTTAATGAACTTTTGATATATAGGCTATAGCTCTAAGGGTTGTTTGGTTCATTTCCAAAAAATTATGGAAATGGAATCTCATTCAATAAATCAAATCTAATTTTTTAGGATATCGAAGAATAGGAAAGCATATTCAATACTCATGTTTGTTTCATTTATAAAAATTAGGCACACCATGATTATTTAGGCATACCATGATGAGGCAGCCATTATGATGAGGCAACCATTTATAAAAATTAAATTGCTCATGTAATTTTTAGATGAGGCAACCATTATGTGTAGGCAATCTATAACGCAATTACAATATTTAGGCGATGCATCATATACTGATAATATGACTTTAATCTGAGACTTATACTCTATTGTTTAACAATCATGAAAATTTCCTTTTATATCTCAATACATTTTGCAACTACATAGCAAGTTTTTAAAGATAATGACGAGTACACCAATTATGACTAAAAACAATACACTCATTTTCCAAATGATTAGTTGATGCTCTGCTAATTTCAATTCTCTCTTCAATCTTTTAATTTTCATTAACTTTTTATCTTCAAGAATGTCTTCACTTTGTGATACTTGATTTATATTTCTGCAATCACCCTCTTTGTGAGCCCATTGAAAGAAGTTACATTCTTTATTTGGGAACTTAGCACAACCTCAATAATGTCTCCCTTTATTTTCCCATTTGCACATAGCTTCAAGGGTGTTGGAAAGCTTACATTTGCACTTTACTTCATATGGGTCAATTGCTTGTTTGCTATCATATTTCAGCTCTATCTTCACTGCAAGGTTGCTCTATTTTCTACTCCAGGATGTTCTTGCTAAAAAAAATACTGAAATGAACTAACTTATGTTAGTATGCTGCTGAAATATTTATAGGCTCTATTGCAACTCCTACTAGTCGTTGCAACAACTAGCCGTTTATATAGCTATTGCCTTCAACACATATTTGGTGCATTTGTCTTCTAACGGGTGGTAACTACCACAGGTATGTTTAAATCAAACCTTTTTGGGTTCTTTCCTATTCTATGATTTTGAAACAAACACAAAAAGCTCCTTTTTAGATGAAAAATTCCTTAAGAACCCAAAATATGGGACCAATAGGAGGGACAAGTGAGGTGTCCCCCTCCTATTGGATAATGAGTTATCCATCATGAGCAATTTAGATTGATTACATTCTTATCATGGTATGCCTTATCTAGATAATAAAATTATAATATAGGCTGTATTAACAAAAAATACCAATCATCATTGCCTAATGCAAAAATCCCAAATTAACTTATGAAAATCATTATAACTTGTCCACGGATGAGGAACCAAAGTTTGAGAGAATGACCATACCAATACACACTAGTTTAGTTCTCAGATGAGGAACCATATGAGGAACCAAAGTTTGAGAGAATGACCATACCAATACACACTAGTTTAGTTCTCAGATGAGGAACCAAAGTTTGAAAGATAGCCATACCAATATACATCAAAGTTTGTAGATTGCTATCTTTATAACTTGTCCATAGATCATAGCTTCGTGTCTCATGAGAATAGATGTGAAAAAATAGCATGCATTTGCACGCTAATAACCTACACACGATAAAAAGCAATCATATTACATAAGCCTGATCATAAACAGAGCATGTAACAAGCAAACAATGAGCTTAAAACTGCTTAGAGTCTGAGCTGAAATAGATAATATATCATAAACAGAGCATAAGTATGCATGATACATTGAGCTAAAACTACTAAGAAGCTAAAACTAAAGCAAATATTGAGCTAAAACTGCTCATAAGCAATGCTGAAACTGAAGCAAATAATGAGATGAAAAAAACCTTATAATTTGAGATGAAACTGAAGTAAACATTGAGCTGAAACTGCTCATAATCTAAACTAAAAATGCTCATAATCTCAGCTAAAACTGGAGCAAAAATTAAAGTAAAATTTTAAGCTGAAACTGCTCATAATATGACCTAAAAATGCTTATAATCTCATCTAAAACTGGAGCTAAAACTGAAGCAAATAGAAAGTACAACCTGATCATAACCAAAGAGAAAACAAAGTATTGTCTCATAACCTGATCATAAACTATTCATAACTTGTTGCATAAGCTGATCATAAGCAAATAGAGAGCACACCATCATATTGATCATAAGTTGTTCATAACCTGATCATAAGCATAGTTTTACAAAATTACATAGCCGTTGCATCATCAAAATAAAGGCAAAGTATTGTCTCATGAAAATGCAAGATCATAACATGTTCATAACTTGAACATAAACATGGCAATAAGAGTGCAAAAGTTGGATCCCAAATTAACTTATGAAAATCATTATAACTTGTCCACGGATGAGGAACCAAAGTTTGAGAGAATGACCATACCAATACACACTAGTTTAGTTCTCAGATGAGGAACCAAAGTTTGAAAGATAGCCATACCAATATACATCAAAGTTTGTAGATTGCTATCTTTATA